CACGATACTTTACGCGTTGCGAAAGGAAGAGAGAGAGAGAGAGAGAGAGATAGAGAGAGAGAGAGCCGAGAGGATAGGATTAAACCATTTTTTTCGCCTTCTAATGGGATCGCCAAGTCAATTCCTGCGTTCCCTTATGCGGAAAAGGCGGAAGTAATAATCGTTACCGCACCGGCTCTGCTGCTTTTGAGAGCGCACGGTGTTCCATTATTTAATGATCCATCTTCATATATTTGAAGGAACGCCTGTTTTCCATCAGGTGCACGCGTCCACGAATATCGACATGTACTAGATAGATCTCTCTTTAAAACTTACACAGCACTGGCGCAATTTCTATACTTTATCACGCAAACTTGCATTTATAACGCTGTATAGTAGAAATTCTTTCAATTAAAATATTCACTGTACGTAATCCCGAAATTTGAGTGCCATACTAACCCCGCAAATTTCGTCAATCTGAAAGACCAATGGCGAATCTAGAAACATAACGTTGTACAGGCTACTGTTCCACCTTGATGCTACAAATGATTATTTAATACTTAAAATAATTATTTAACATAGCTAATTATCTCAATATTCTCAACTTGCATTTAATCATCATTCTCAATTTCAACAATCAAAACGGTGGCAAATATAATATATATATATATATATATATATATATATATATATATATATATATATATATATATATAAAATATATATATAAGTACAATTCTTTTCACAATCTCTTTACGATTTTCTTTTCATTAGCGTTGGAAGCATATGAAATTTATCTCTGTATACATCTGGAAATATATGCATTGATGCATCGACGCCTCCGTGTCTTCCGTCTTGGCTTTCCGATCCAGCATTTTGCCGCTGGCTCCTGGATTCATGGTACTGATACTCGTGCAGACATGAATTAATCGGAGAAACGCGCGACCGACGAGAGTCGCGTTAATTAATACGATACCGATCTAGTCAAATATTTCATGAGCCGATGAATTATTCTATGTACACAATGCGCGCTAATAAGAAAGTACACGCCGCGCGACGATACCGAGACAATGGACAAAAAGTGTTACGTCACTCCGCGTCGCCCGGCTATTGTTCCACTGCTGAGCAGTCAGGCGATGACAACCATAACACTTTCAAAACATTGCGGACCTTCAAGGCAGTTACACCTGCCTTTGTGCGTCACGTGTTTTTCCGCGTGTTTCCAGTACGTGCCGAACCGGCAAGCGATACGCATACCATGTGTATCGGCGCGTTAGTTAATTCACGTCGAGTGATTATAACGTTTCGTGAACTGATCTTGAAATCTAGTTAATCATGCTCTCGTCGACATCGCGTTATTTAACACATACGTTCCGATCAAATCGTATCTACGCGAGTGTATGTCAGTGTCAGTGCCACGACGGAGGAGCCAGGATATTGGATCGAGGAGCTAGAACAGACGACGCGGAAGACCGAGACATAGGCAGCGATGCATCGTGTATGTCCAGGTATGTCAAATCATTTGTTTAAACAGGTTTCCGTTCTTGACGGACATCTCACTTAACCGAGAACTTACTGAGAATAAAGTAATACTCGAATCGAAATTTAGGCCGGCATTCATAGTTTGTTATCATTTGACAAGTAATTATAGCTTTATGAATCTTGGATTATTCATTAATATACATACATTCATTATGTACATACGCCTGTACTGATTACATTATTACTGATTACACAAGAAACATTAGTTAAAATGGCCGAATAACGGTTGAATAACGGTTGGCCATGAATACGAATCTATAATTAATTGTGTTCTCAACATCAAAGATCTTGAATAATTTACAACTATAAATACTGGCCTTAAAACATAATGTAAATCTCATAATTGTTGATTTTTACGTCTAATAATGCTCTTTGAATCGCGTAATCTGAGATCTTCTCTACATCTGCCAACGTTTTCTCATTCATACTTGGCCTTGTTATCATAATTATTGTATTGTACTGAATACGAATTTAAATTTCCATTCATTAACATACACAGCATTATTAGACACATAATTATTATGTCTTTCTTCATAGTTCTCAAATCAGTTCTTTTGAGAGCTCCAATTCTCATTAAATCTTTCAACGCTAAAAAAAGAAAAAAAAGAAGAAGACATTGGGAAGAAATAAGAATAAAGTGTTTTATTTTCTACCACCATTTCCCCTATCAATCTTTATTTAATTATTTAATTACTTAATATTTGTACATCTCTCACGCATTCTCTATTTGCCACTAAATAAGTTATATAGTTAATATACTGCCAATTGAAATTGAGAATAAATATTAAATTGTGATAAAATATTTTATCTGAAAATATTTTCAAACAATTAAATATTACAAATAATTTATAAATGATTTGCGGTTAATAATTAACGGGAACAATTCAATAATAAGCGGCACTTCCGGCACGTATCGTTTTCTCATTCGAATGTAGCCACACTTCGCTAACTGCCAATTGCGCGTGTATATCCGAGCGGTTAACTTTCCCGACATTTTCTCCGCGCGGAACGAAGGGACGACTTTGATCATGTCGTGTATCTCTGGACTTTGTCATTTTGCGTGGAAATACCGAGGTGAACATCGGATCTCGAATTTTCATTGTCGAATTGCGACTGTTCCGAATTCCCGGTCGTCGAAAGTAGCGAATTTGGAATTTCCGGATTATGGTCGCGCAATTTCCTATTGCTATTCTTCTCGATTTCCCTTGCATTATTATTAGAATCGGGTAAAATTGGAAGATCCCTTTGCGATATATGCACTGAGAAGAAAATTATTTATTCGATGGTAATTTACTTCAATAAATTTATTTCGATATTTAAATATTTAACTTGTATTAATATAAAATATTCTTTAAATAAAAAAAATTTTTTTATACTAGCTTTTTTGAAGGCAGTTTTTATTCTATTTAAATAAAATTAAATTAAATAATTTAAATAAAATAAGTTAAATTTAAATCAAATAAAATTTAATAAATTTAAATAAAAAAAATTAAATTTAAATAAATATTCAAATTAAAACTATCGATTTCCCTTGCAATATTATTATAACTGGATAAAATTTTAAAACTGAGAAGAAAATTATTTGATGATAATTGACTTTAATAAATTTATTTCGATATTTAAATATTTAAATATATATATATATATATATATATATATATATATATATATTCTTTTATATTAGTATTTTATATTTTATATTATATTTATATATTTTTTTATTAATATATATATTTTTTTTACACTAAATTTTTCTAAAGACTTTTTCTGAAGTTTTTATTCAATTTAAATAAAATCAATTTGAATTTAATTAAATAAATATAAATTAAAATTAAATTTAAATAAATATTCAAAATACTAAAAAAATAAATACTAAAATTAAAAATAAATTTAAATAAAATAAAATAAATAAATAAATTTAAATTTAAGTAAATAGCATCCACCGAATAAATATTTTTTTATTTTCTGATATTTTTTCTCGGTGTATATGCAAGATCGAGAGATAACAAGATATGTAATAATTCTAATGTAAATAATTTTTTCGAGTGTCCACATGCAGAAAACAGCAGTAAGCAGTAAGCAGTAATTATCTGCGGTAGGATAATAACTGCGGTAGCAGTAATTATCAAGGTAGGATAATAGTCTAATATTATATCTCAAGATTCTCCATTGATCCTTCAAGTTTTGACGGAATTTGCAGGATTGATAGAAAATCAAAATTTCGATTCGAGGTGTCTGTGAGATATCCGACGATCTATTTTCGTGAATTTACGGAGCGCGACGAAACGAAAATTCAAATGCACTGAGAAAAAAATGTTTGATATTTATAATTGTAATCGCACACAAAGAAATAATTACTACAAATTATGATCAAGAAAGCTTCTTTTTTTAAATTAAATTCTATTATGTCAGCGATAATATATTTATACATATTACTATTGCTATTTTATTACAGAAAATATAACTGAAGCCAAAAACAAATATAATTTTAGTTAAATCAAGCATTTTTTCTTTCAGTGTAGAAATTTAACGTCAAAGTATCATCGAAACGTCGATGATGACTAGACGGATTTCGCTTTTGAGCTCCAAGCAAGCTTTTGTGGGGTAAACTCTGCGTTCCCTTATGTGGAACATGCGAAAGTAATGATCTTTGCCAGAGCAATGTGCGTCCGCTTGGCAGGCGTGTCACGGCGTGTCATCGCCAAGACGGCGGCGCATCATCGACGCGACCTATTACAGGCCGGGCAAATTGCTTCCCGTCGTAAAATCCGTCCGAGTGATTGATTAGCATGAAGTCAGATCGACTTGTGCCCCCGCTTCCACCCGCGCCTTTTTGCACTTTATGTTCGCACAAGTCCCGCGCGCGTTCCCACACGATCGTCGCCAACGACGACGGCGGGCGTTGACGTTATATCGGTGTCAATCATATCCCAACGACCGTGTCGCCTTCAGTGATTCGGTACATGACTGCCAAATCAGAATCAGCATTTATTCCCGCGTCTCTTCGATTGTCGGAACATCCACGCGCGAATACCGTATCGCGTATCTCGCCCGCGGTGCTACGCAATGATGGTTTTCGCCCGTGGACAACTTTTCCTTGATTGCATTCACTGGCGCTTCGCACCCGTTTACTGCGCTGCGCTGCGCGAGAGGGAGATGATCGAGTACCACGACGTTCTTGTTAGAACAGTGCCAAGAGGGACGTTTAGCGCGAGTGTCGATTACACTCGCTTCCTCGGAAATAGTTTTCCATTGCTGGGAGCGCTGCGTTGATATAGGAAAACTAGACAGATGTTATAGCTCGCTCGCTCGTTCATTCGTTTGTTCTTTCTTTCACTCGTGAGAAAACGATCTTCGCGATTCGCGCCTGTCTATCCGTCGAGCGAGCTTGGAATTGAAGTCGAGTCAGTCTTCGCGAAGATCCACGCGTGCCAATCGCCGAGAAGTAATAAGAAATGAAAAAGAACAACGAGACTCACCTTGCCGGTAGTGGCCGATTTGTAGAGCGGTCCCATGATTACGTGATCAGTAGGGCAGCCGTCGGAGTCGATCAAGACGATCTCGCTGGAGTCCACGCCGTCCATGGCGACCAGCTCGCGGACAAAGATCTCGTATGGGCTGTTGGGATCGAGTATCTCGAATTTGAGCGCCAAGGGGTCGCCGACCTCGGCCGAGGGAATCGCCTCGTTGCCGCTACGATCGGTGATTTTCATGGCGACGTTGGGCGAGTCGACGATCACCTCCTCAGAGAGGGCGGGCGTGATGTCGCCGTGTACGCCGAGGTCGACCTCGTTGGAGACGGTCTTGTTTGTGAGATCGTATTGGCAGGTCACGGCCAATCCCAGATCGGAACTGGTGACGATGGTGTCGTGGTGCTGGATCACCACGTCGTTGAGGTAACGGCCGAGACCTTGCTGCCTGATGTTGCACTCAAGATCGTCGTAAGCCATACGCAGCTCGAACTCGAGCGCGCCCTTCACGTCCTGCACGCACGAGTTGGGCGAGCCCTTGGCGTATACCTTGCCGTAGAAGAGCTTGCTAGTCTGAATCCGAGTCACCATATCGCCGGCGCGACAGTCGATGGTCACGTTGTAGCAGGAGCTCAGCTCGTACGTGGACGCTTCCGGTACATCGAGATAGGGTTCCTGAAACGATTGTTTGTTTTCGGCCCGTTACTCATTGTTGCTCGCGCTCAAGTGCCCGTCGGACGTATTAATGCGCGATATCTTGTCGTGGTATCAATTTGAAATTGTAGCGCACGCAGGGATGTTTCGCAGTTGGATCTCGCGAAGCCATCCTGCGCTATTCGTCGATTATTCTTGTCTGCTTTGTTCGCTTTACACACAGATGCCGGCAAATTTTGTGGGCTCGAAACAAAAACTCAGCGGAGAATGCAGCGGCGAAAATCGCGGCCCGGCAACGAAAAGAGCGTGTCGAAATACCCGCAACGTATTCATCTTCGGGGATATAGTTCGCATGGCAATTAATATGTTGCAGCACTCACAACATGCGAACAAAGAGAACGGGGGTACGTGTAGGCAGCTGGCCAGTCACAATTTACGCGGTGATTATCGATGTAGATTTCTTTCGCGGCGCGATTTCTCACGCTGAAATGCAACGGCCAGCACCAGAAACGCGCGCACGCTTCATTCAATCGTCCCTCGCGCGTATTTTTCGATTGTACGAAGGCAATAATAATAACATTAATAATTTATTCGCACGAATGATTAAGCACACTCTTTATTTTCAACATCAAAAGCACGGCACTCGCGTTTATCCGGCACGATACATCAATATCCAATAATTATCAATCGCGGAGCATGTCCCCACGTATTCGCGTATACATATACGCACTCGCGTTTTCATGTACACCGAACAGAGTGATAATCCGCTCTGATTCACACGCATTTGTCACTTCCAAAGAATTATTCGAAATCACTTTACATGACGCTATTTATCGATCTGCGCGCGGCCCGGCGCGCTCGGCGTTCGCGCTGAAAGAGAGAAAGCGCTCTCCGATGAAATAAATTAATCGCGAATATTGCGCCGATAAATACTCTTGACATTTCATGCTATCTCCACAGTTAATAATTTGTATATTTGCGGAGATGCCGCTGGTGCTTGCACAACCGCCCGTAGGGCCAATCGCGAACTCTCCGCGTGCGAACACGATCGTTCTTCCATTATGCATATTATTTGCGCATTTACGAGCGGATGATGCCGCGCGAAACCCGTATGGTCGACAAACTCAGCGTGTATCATCACATCGGAGCGATATTTCGCCTCGCTTGATATCGCATAAATATCCCATTACAGCAATTATTCGTACGAAATATCGGCAGGGGAGGGAACGACGTTCGTGTCGGCCAGGGATCAGTATTCGTGACTACACCGCACCGACAGTGCCGTAGTGACGTGCCGTAAAAAGCGCGGATAATCGAATAGCCCCGACAAAATAGCCCGACGCTCGCTAAATCTTTCTTTTGATTTTCTCCCGTGTTACCGAGGCAGAGTGCAATTCGCATTCGGACGAGCTTCGTCCGTGGAGCGCCACCCACGGGAAGCTCGATAGGGGCGAGCGTGTCTGCGATGGAAACTCGATTTTCCGCGAATGCGCCCTCGGCGGATTGTTCAAGCTGGTTTGCATGTCGGGGCGAGCGTAATCGCGTTTATAGAAAATCCCCACTGGCCCTTTCAAGAATTCGCGGGACGGGGCGAAACACAAGGTGGTTCGCGCCGGTCTCTGTTTTAAACGCTCACGACGATTGAATTGCATTCCGGCGTTTCAAATCGGAACACAACAATGTTATATTTCTCGTGTTTCGGAGGCCTCTGCGTTCCCGATTCGTTTCCCGTTTACGCGGTCTCTTCGTCGCAGGCCGGTCGCAGGCTAAAGATGATTTTGCTCACCTGAATGTCCGAGAGGGTGGCACGGGAGTGATGGCTGAGACGGCAGACCATGTCGCCCGTATCGCCGTAATCGTACGAATGGCAACGGAACGGCGAGTTCAAGCACAATTCGCGGCACTCGTCGGACGTGCCGACGTCCTGGTAAACGGAGTCCACGGTCTTGAGGATGCGGCCGGCCAGCTTCTTGAATTCGCAAAGTTTCACCGGCTCCTCCACGCAATGGTTCTCCAGATAATCCACCCCCTTCGCCGTCTGAAAGGCGCTCGAGCCGGCGACTGTCAGCCGATCCATGTCCGAAAGTTCGCATTGCTTAGTGGCATTAGCGTAATTAGCGGATCTGAAAACCAAGGGGAAATCTCCGTGAAAAATTCGCAATCACGCGATTGTCTACGATCTGTTATTGTCTGGGGGAAGCAAGTCTCTTGATAAATTATCGTTACGCGAACCAATGCATAGTCTCAATACATTGATAGAGGAAAAATATCTAAAAAATAAAAAAATATTTATTCGGTGAATGCTAACAGCATATATTTGTGTTTATACTACTATGTACTGTACATTTTTACGCTCTAGGAAAAAATATTTTTCAAACAAGCTATACATTTATTTAAAATCTCAGCTTTTCACAAAATAACGTTTGTTCAATTTAAACTCGAAAATTTGGATTTGAATAACTACGTTATTAATATTCTATAAATGAATATTTTCTATCTTATAGATATTTTGTCTCTCAATGTAATATTCCCTTCATCTCGTTCAATTTCGGACACGCTCTGCGAATATAATCGTTAACTATTATTATATTATCGTGCATAAATTCTTGGAGCATATGACAGAAATCCACGACACGTGACGTCTGCTTTCGATAGGAAATAATGGCTTTTCAGGTTTGATTAAAAGGTCAAACGTTTAATCGCGTTTTACGAGTATGAACCATCAGCACAAGTGCGACGGTATCGATTATCCGTGTACGATGTCTCTTCTGAGTAGCCGGAGAAATTGAATGCACGTCGTTCGCAGAGGTTAAGCGCGAAAGAGGGAAGCGCGATCCGTTTCAGTCGTCATGCACGCCGTCCCTCGTTGCGGTAAAAACACACGAGGATACGCACGTGCTGCTGGCCCGGTTGTTGTCCCCGACGAGCACTTCTCGTCGTCGTGTCTCCCGCGTTAATCTCGGAGAGCGAGCTGTAAGCGAAACACCTACGCGCAAACGAACCCGAGTACGCCGCGAGTTTCGTTTCCAGAGTACGGCGAGCATAGACGCCGCCGCCGCTGTCGGAATAATTACTTTCCGCCGTGCCTTTACTACGCCGTAATAATGCGTGGTTAATGACACTAAACGAGCGGGGAGCAATTAAGAAAACGCTAATTTACTGACGCTCGCGGCCGCGGCGTCTCGTACGCTCCACTCTCTCTCTCGTTTCTCTCGTCTACGCCTACGTCGACGTAAATCGCGAATCGCGATCGCGACCGCGGGCGCGTCGAAACGCGAGGTACGTCACGATCCGACTTTTCCAGTGTTCATTAAATTTCAGGCCCTAACGCGATAGGAAGGGCTCGATCAGAGCCGTCGACAAATACATCCGCGATCATTTATCTAGGCATGTACCCATCTGACTATCCATCCATCTATCTATCTATCTATAAAGTGGAATAATTACGGGCATCTGGATGATGGAGTGACGTTTACATTAACGTTTCAAGCGGTACGTAAACGGTACATGATACGATGACATCCATGAGTGATTTGGTACACAAATTTGTGAAATTCCTGTTTAATCCAATTACACGATTAGTTAATGGTCTCGTAATTTATTTTGATTAGCCTACGACTACGGAGTGGAAGGGTGGTGGGGGGTTTCGATTCGCGGGGCGCGCAAGAGCTCGTAGATCAATGTTTCCGTAAACGCGCGAATAATTCTTCTGTCACGTCGAGATATATACATGGTTTTTTTTATCAATTTTAGGGATCGATGGGTGTTGCGCGTTCCCGAATACGACACAAGATCGCGGATCGCGAAATTATTTGTGGTTATAAAAATATTTATCGGACATGCATTGCGTCGTGTACAGAGCGTACACACGCCCACTCCGATAACATACGCTGTAGGATCATTCTGTAAATATTGGTGCGCTTCGACTTCATGCATATCGCCGGGAAATGATAGTGGTTTATCGCGCGTGTATACGTGGCACATTTAACGATGTACGATATTATGCTTTTTATTGAGACTTCTACGTCATAGCATGGCTTCTCATACGGGTGTAACTCGCTCGTAATAACGAATTATTTCGCATGGACGAGCACTTTGTGACTTCATAAGAAGGCGACTTTTCATGAATCTGAAACCTGGCGCCTAAAACCCGGATAATTTCGGAGAGTTACGTGATGAACGTAGCTCGTTCATTCTCTTTCTCTTTTTCTTTCTCTCTCTCTCTCTCTCTTTCTTTCACATTCTCTCTCTCTCTCTCTCTCTCAAGGGGATGATTTTCTCTCGCAATGCTGAATTTGTCTTTGAGAAGAAACTGCAATTTGCAACTTGCAATTTGCGAATGTTTCGCAGATTACTGCTCGCCTACTTGGCATTTTTCGCCCTACGATGCAAAGAACATGCGGCTGCTTTTTATTAAAATGCACGACCATGCTCTTCCGAGCGATTGCTTATTATGCGTTTTCGCGATCCTGCAATTCCGCAGATCGCGATAGTCCGGTGGGGGAAGGCTACAAAGTAGAGAGGCGTATAGAGAGCGTGGCGCAGTCCATTAGAACGCGCGCGTGGTCGCATTCTCCGTCGAAACCGCAACTTCCTTCGCTCGCGTCGGCGGCGCACACGCGTGTCCAACCTACACAACGTGCTCTCATGACCGGGGAATCCAGGGGAATTGCGGCTCGGGCCTTTTGTACCTCGAGATCACGTCTTCACCTCTAGCCGCTCTATAATCCGGGATTAGGTACTTCCCGCATTGGACATTCCCGAGATAATCCGGAGTGCTTTCCGGCTCGGCCGAGACATTGAAATCATTACCATCTTTTTCTCCTTCGGTGCGAGAGGATCGGGGGTGTGGTGGTTAAGAGCGTCTGCCGGAAGAGCCGGTCGAGAGTTTCCGCGACGACTACGTGCTCAGGTACGCGTGAGCCGTCGCGACGTCGTCCCATCGTCGTGGCAAAGTTTGCCCCGGCGGGATCGCTGTTCTCGCAGGGCGCGGGCGCGAAGGGCCGCCGTCAAATTTATTCCACGTCGCTCCATCGATTTCGGATTATATTGCCTTAAGACCTGAATAATATTCATGGGTGCCGCGTTATGATTTCAATATTCCCGGTGCTCGGCGGGACGAGCGTGGGCGAAGTCGAAAAATCACCGCGGCCTTATGCGAACGGGCGCGATAAATCCCGAAGCTCGTCGAGAATGGGCGAGAGAGTTGGGGGAAAATGGAAAGAGAGAGAGAGAGAAAATATAATCGAATCGCGTAGCGGCCGACCGTAGTTCCCGCGATTGTCGACACGTGCTCTCTTTCTCTCTCTCTCTCTCTTTCTCCCTCACTCTCGCGTCCTTACGTGTTCCCTTTCGCGGGACGTATTTCGCGAATCGAGCACGCAGCCCGGCACGGAGGGGTTGGTGCGTCGCGACAATGCTTTGCGGTAAAATCGCCGATGCGAAACGAATGGGTTACGAAAAAACGCGTTGCCGGCTTTGTTCCGCGGCGTTGGCGCGTCAAATATATATATATATATATATATATACATATATAAGTATGTGTGTGTATATGTATGAATGAATGTTTGCTCGTTAAATCAACAAGTTTCGATCGAATTGTTCGTGACTCAAATACAATAATTGTCCGACGCCGCGCGTCCTTTTCTCCCCCGCGCCCCTCGACGCGGCGCCTCGTTTATTATTTATCCAATGTATGCAAATTCGAACAATCGCTTTTATCACAAATTATTTTTAGCCCGCCCGTCCTGATTGCGTCCCCTTTGACTGTGCGCGTTCGCGCCGAAAGATCTGTCGGCGGCGTGTGTCGTTCGCGTCGATGAAGATATCGGAATCACGCTGCGCCGGGGAAACAGTGTCTCATTATCGCCGACTGTGTAAAAAGTTTTAAGAAAGGGTGCGCTTCAGAGGCCGTTACCGCCCATTGCCGGTTGCAAGAAGCGCGCCGTCGTGACGATGTCGTGTCTCACTCCGAGTGAGTGTGTGTCGGAAATATACCGGATATTGTAAAAACAACGTTGAAATCGTAGCTCACGAGTTGCAGTAAGTTGCAACAAACTCGCGGTGTCGCTAACGATGATGGAGTGCGCCAATCACTCTTGCGAAACTAAGAGCCGGTACACACATCCACAGGCGCGAGCGCACACGCACACATACGTAACGTGCGACGCTTTTTCAACCGCGATTCGTACAATTTATCACGAGCCATTAATTACGCGCGGTTACCTATAAACCGGAGGGCAACGACGATTTTGTCCATTGAATCGCTCCGCTGCGCTCGCGCGCGTTAAATAATTGTGATGTAGCGCTTGAAAAGTTGAGCGAGATTTTTATATGATTTTGCACAGAGAGCGCGTCACGCGCGCGTCGGCAACGTCTCTGTTCGTCGCGCGGCCAGGTGGACATTGTAACGATCGCGTCACGTTAATTTATAGCGCAGCGGTATTTTTATCGCATTTGCCGTGGAATAATTTTCCGCTGTGCAAGCGAGGCAACATTTAAAGCTGATTCGTCTCTTCGTTTGTTGATCGAAAGAGAGGAAGGGAAGGGCAGAGAGAGAGAGAGAGAGAGAGAGAGAGAGAGAGAGAGAGAGAGAGA